ACATAGGAGTATATATGTTTATATTTGTATTTGTATATAGATATGAATATATATGTATATATACGTATAGATATATGTATGTACATGTATTTTTTTATATTTTATATGTATACATATATATATGTATGTATATGTATATATGTATATGTACAATATATATATGTATTGCATATGTTTATATATATATACATGTATATATTTTATATGTATTTATATATGTTTGTATGTATATATATGTATTTTTTATATTTATTTTATTTTATTTTAGTTTTGATTTTAATTTTTTTAAATTTTTAAATTTTTTTAAATTTTTTTTTTAATTTTTTTAATTTTTTAATTTTTTTTGAAAATCTGACGTGGCGTGCTGATGTGGCAAAATTTTCCACATGGCCTTCCACGTCAGTCGCCACGTGGCCTTCCACATCATCAATTAACGGACATTTTAACACTGTTTCGGATTGTGTAGTAAATTGTAGTAAAATTGGGTAATTTATGTATAGATTTGGGATATTTGATAATATAGTGTATACTTTTATCAAATTAAAAATTCGTGTAGGAAAAGGTCACATTTTACTAAATTAGTGTAGGAAAATAACATTTTACCTTATTAATATATTGTTAGAATTATTACATAAACCAAGAAAAAAACATACTATTGTGGCCGTTTATGTTAAAGCAACAAGGCTGTGACTTATTGGTAAACGACAAACTTCTGCATTGGTCGCTTGCATTTCTCGCACGTGACAACCCTCCTCGTCGTCGCCGCTGCTTCCGAGGGCACCTCGACCGAGCTAGTCTCCTCACATGGCTTCTCATTCACTTCGCTGGCGATTTTCAGCGCTCCGGAGAAACCCAGATCCGCCGCATTCTCTCCCCACCGCCGAATTCTCCGGAGACACTCCGTCGCATTCCTTCCCGTCAGCCGGACAATGTCCGCCGCCGCAGCCCGTCCTTTTCCAATGACGGTCCAACCCTTGTGTTCGTCGTAATCGAAGTCAAGGAGTTCGGAGACTTCTGCGAGGACGCGATCGGATTCCGGCGACTTGCCTCGCCGGAGCTTGGATCGTCTGATGCTTTCAAGCCGAGGATAGAATATTGTAGAGCAGATTACGATTGAGTTGCCATTCATGGTCAAGGAATTGAGTTTTGTGTATTCGTCCCGACTGCGTCTACCGAGGTAGATCGTCTCGAACTGGAACCCTAGACTTTGAATTTTTAGTGCTTGTGATTTGAATTCGTCAACCCAGTCCGAATCGTCGCTTCCGTAGATGCAGATTTCTCTCCCTTCTTCGATCTAATTCATATAATTTCACCAGAAGAACAGAAATTTAATCATTAGATGAAAAGGGTAGGAAGGGTCGTTGTAAAATTGTAGAGATTTATCTTACCCATGTTTCAAACGCAGGATGAATGTTATCAAGCAGGAGCTGCATGGACCATCCATCTTCTTCCCAGAGCTCGTTTTCTCTGGAAATTGAAAATGGGTATGCCCTAACACCCCATATAAGCACCATATCCATGGCATTCATGTTTACAATCCTTCCATTAGAATCCAGCACCACCATCATTGTCTCACCGTCTCTGTAATTCCATTCTGTTCTCATAAACTTCACCACCGTGGAGCTCATCAGCCATGGCCGCCTGACTGAGCACCACGGGAGGGAGTTGGAGATGAACTTGAAGATTCCCTTCTCTTCATCTGTCCATCTTGTGGATGATGGAATTGGAATCCATATAATGTCGTAGTTTCTGTTGCTCTCAACCTTGGACCGATGGTCATATGTTTGTTGAAGTAGGAAGAGAAGTTGCTCTAGAGGTAGGAGCTCTGGCTTTGATAGTAGCAGCAATATGACCTTATCTTTCAGCTCAGTTATAGCTATCTGCCATTGGATTTTGAAATTCGACGTAAAACACAAGAGATTGTCCAGCTTTCAAGTGTAGATACTTTGGCGAAATCAAGATTATGTTTCGAAGGAAGGTTAGAAGTATTTGGACTGTGAATATTCCTACTTATAAAGCATAAGGATTCTGTAATATTGTCTCGCTGAATACTCCGTTCCATTTTTATCTAAATCCAACTGGAGTGTAGAAGATGATGTTTCTCAGAAGGAAATAAAGCTAAAAGATTGAAAACAAGAAGAATAGAATAGGAAAAGGTTAGAGAGAGAGAGAGAGGGAAAAGAGAAAGAAAGATTCTTTATACCTGTCTGGAGAAATCTTGAAGTGGGAAGTCATCCTGCAGTGAAAACAGCAGTTGAAGTACCGCTTGGTTATCTTCACTATTCTCTGTGAAAATGTTGTGAAGTTTCCAATAGATTTCTTCCTCTACAAGTGGCAACAGACAAGCCCCTTTGGCATTAGGGTTTTTGCTTTTGACAGAAGTTGTGTTTCTGGAACCAAACATTCCGAAGATTACCTATTTGTTCATAGCATTCTTCTACCTGCTCCTTGAGACTGATCTGCATGCTGGTCAACCGATATCCTAAACTTGATAATTCCCTCATTGCTATCCTCGAATCTGATGCCTGTTAATTGCACAAAAATCTTGCCCATGAGAAAATCTGATCATGAATTGCCTAATATGATGTTAACATAGACGTAGTGAATAATTGTGTTATTTTTTTTTTGCAGGGTGTGATAGAAGAGGGGGGAAAACATGCACTTGCTGGGATTGCTTGAAATAGGCGATCTGCATCAAGCATGTGATTGCACTTCTGACAACCCAGTAAGCAGCTAAATAGACTTGAGATGCGGTTTCTCCCACAACGTTGTTGTCTGGATTTGCCTGTTTCACTGGCAGTCTTTCAAACCCAATGATGCATTTAGTCACATCTACCATAGCCCTAACCAGCAAGCTCAGAGATTTAAGCCAAGTGCTGAACTTGCTTGTATTGAAAGGCAACCAGTTGAGGATTGCAACCGATGCTGCCACAGGATCAGAGGAGCTAAGGTGTTTTGGTAGACAGAGTCTTCCATATGTCTCAGCCAGAGCTCCTAGTACTATCACAACTTTCACATCCCATCGATAATTTCGCAGAAGATCAAACACGGCCATTGTTCTTGTCTGAATATCCCTTTCCCCTGTGCATTGACAAAGCATCTGCAATTCTCAAGCTACTTAGTTTCGGTTCTTGTTTTTATAGGTAGGACGGTTATGATGAGAAAAAGGGATCGATTTTATTTTTTTACCTGAAGGGAGACTCTGGAGATTGTACAAGGCAGTGTCTCCACTGATTCAACCACTTCAATGCCGCTGATACAGTTCCAGGTCTCAGAACTCATAGGTGGGCTAGAAACCTGAAAGTTTCATGGCATGATTATATGAGCAACAAGCAGTTTGTCGGGTTTTCGATGAAATGAAGACAGGGTTTGGCAAAAAATAGCTCACTTCATTCTCCAAAGCAATGTGCATGATGTTTTCGACTTCCTGAAGCATCATTTCAGAATCAAGCCAGCGGCCATCAGGAACATGACCAAGGAGAAGACTCTGCATTAGGGTATCTTCATTCAGAACAGACAAGCTGCTCCAAAACCCGTCATTCCCAGCTAATCTCATGGCCATGTTTTTAACCAGAAACCTATACTCTGTTCGGTTCTACCGACAATGTCAAGGCTTTCAGACAGTTGTTGCAGAGATGAGTGAGCGTGTTTGCCTTTGTATAAGTGGCAAGACAACATATATGCTTGTCTTAGTTGAAGTCAGTAGGGTCTCTAGAACTAAAGAGTGTTGAACAATCTCTCTGGAATCTATTCAAAGCCCACCACTTGTCTTTATCTTTTTTCCTTTCATGTTTCACCACTTTTCCTTTCTCTAATGTCTTAAACTAACATACTTTTCCTCTTTTTTCACTGCAGAAACATTCTCATACAAGGGAGAAAGCATGTATACAAGGGTTATAAGTTATAACCCGAATATCGGTCCGACCCATGATCATACAGGAGAACCAGAAAGCAGAGGACCTAACCATCACTGCTATAACTTGTCCCAGACCTGTGTGAAGAATGTTAGCTTCGAAAGTGTTTGCCATGCAAAGCAATCTGTTCCGGTAAGAAGGATAGAAAGGGGGGACCCATAGTGGTTTCATAGACTAAATGCCTTTTTCCCTCTTCTGAAAAAGATTCCAAGCAAAAGAGGGTTTCAGCATCAGAAACCAAATCTGGTGGAGTTTTCCTCGTTTTTGGTCCTTAATCACTATGAAACCAATGCGCCACTTCACCCTGTTTTGTCCAAAATTTACACAAATTCTGAAACTTTTTTGCTGTGGACTGTTATTAAATTTTGAAACTTTAGGTGGTTGGAAGTTAAAACCCATCATGGTAGTAGATTCACCAATTCTTCCCCGGCCGGTGGTTATCAATTAATATGATCATATCATTCTGAGTCTCAAGCTAGTGCTGACAAATTTAACCAGAAACCGGTTATCCGCGAATATCCGATTTTAGAGTATTCATTTTCATTCAAATCCAAATCCGAGCAAACACCCGCAAATCCGAATTTGAATATGGGTAATAAAATTTCTTTAAAATGGTTACTCACGGATATTCGAATAGTTTTGTTATAAAGATATATCCTACATCTTTATAATATTTTGATAAAATGCAACTGTTTTCGGTTAAACGATTTCTCTTTTCTCAACATCATCTAAAAAAAATACTGAACTTATTATTATTTATGTTTCACCAACTCTTTTTATCTTCGGGTTTGACTACATTCATCCATCTTTATAATCACATCTTCGTTTTTGTCAAGTTTTCTATGTAATTATTGTTGTTTTTCATTAAATAATCTCGGATCCGAATACAAACGAGTACCCAAACATTGTTGTGGATATTCGTATCCTGGATAACCGTAAGCCTCAAATACGAATCCAAATACTCCGATTTTTTTCGAGTAGTCTATGAGTAAAATTATACTTGTGTTCTTGATTCATGGATAATGAGAAATCCATCTGAAACATAAAACACATTCATGGGGACATTCGGATGAATGCTTGGTCCTGTCCTAAAAGGGATAAGAAAGCAAATCAAGAAAGTGCAAGTGATAACCGCTATTATTATGATACACACACACACACACATATTCATCAATTCAATTAAGGTCACAGTTAATGTGATTTAAGACGTCAAATGAAGTTGGTGTTACCATTAATCACGCCTCTATCTTTGCTTCGGTTACTTATACCCACATGGATCATCATCCACCGAGAATTCATCACATGAACTTTTCATGAACACATTCTGGTTAGTGACCACCAGTGAGATTAAAAAAAAAAAGTTTCAAGAGAATCCAAATCATGGAGATGAAAACGGCGGTTTCCATACTCGAGTGGGTTTACGCTCACCTGAGGTTTTCAGACGTCGTTCTCGCCCTGTCCGTGTTGTTTCTTCTCAGTTGCTTGCGCGAGAAGTTATCGAACAAGGCCGGGCCAATGTCGTGGCCCGTGCTGGGGATCCTGCCGTCTCTCATCGTCCACAGGAACGATCTGTTCGACTGGTGCACTGGAGCTCTGGCCAAAGCCGGCGGGACTTTCCATTACAGAGGGGTCTGGTTTGGTGGGTCGTACGGGATCATGACCGTGGATCCTGTGAACATAGAGTACATCCTCAAGACCAATTTCAAGAATTACCCAAAGGGCGAGTTCTACAGAGAGAGGTTCAGAGATCTTCTCGAAGACGGGATCTTCAACGCCGACGATGAGCTCTGGAAGGAGGAGAGACGTGTGGCGAAGATGGAGATGCATTCCGCCCGTTTCTCGGATCATTCTTACGCGACGATGCGTGATCTGGTGAAGGAAGAGCTCCTGACTTTGATGGAGAAGATGGCTAGTTCCGGGAAAAGCTTCGATCTTCAAGACGTCCTCCTCCGTTTCACGTTCGATAACATCTGTGGCGCAGCTTTCGGGGTTGACCCGGGATCCCTGGCTATCGATTTACCCGAAATCCCCTTTGCCAAGGCCTTTGAGGAGGCTACAGAGTACACTCTCATAAGGTTTCTGTTACCGCCTTTCGTCTGGAAGCCTATGCGGTTTCTGGGTATCGGACACGAGAAGAAGCTCAGGAAAGCTGTCAGAATCGTCCACGTGTTTGCAGACAAGACGGTGAGGGACCGAAGAATCAAGCTGAGGAAGCTCGGGAGCTTGAACGATTCTTCCG